AAAAAAAAAAAAAAAAAAAAAAAGGCGACCTTGGGTCACAAGACCAACCTGTAACAATGCGTTTGCGCCATTTTCAATAAGAAGTGTAGTCACTTGGGGGAGGTGATTTGAAAATCGGACCCATTTGACTGGCCCCATTACACAGACAACACACTCTTTCGACGCACTTTCAATAGGGTGGGAACCCTAATCACATATGGACGTGATTATGCAAAGTGTAGTGCAATGTGGAACGATGCAGGAAGTGTAGTATCAGTGTACTAGAGTGCTATGGAACGATGCCCCTATTATGAGTGCCTACTACTACAAGTAGTCCCGGTAGTGTACAAATGTCTCCTACCCATACATTCTTCTAAGGTTGAAAAATGTGGAGCCGTAATTCCAGGAGGCTAATTTAGGTCTACTACCGGTAGTCAACAAACTACCCCGAAGGCAGAGTTGGGACCCTAACTTGGTTCCCTAGTAACCGTAACGCTCCCACCATCCGTACATACCTATTAACTTTTGCCTTCCTCCTGCAGAAAAAAAAAAATGAGCGCACCAGGTCGCTATCATGTGCTGAAAAACTTTCTTTTTTTCTTTTTAAAGGTTATGCAGACTGAGGTATAGGCACATTGTACTATGGCAGTCAGTACTATAATCACTCCCACGACACACCTAATGCAGACTGGGGCATTTCAAGGTGGGAGACTCTCAATTGTACCCAGTCCCTCAACAACCCTCCCCCCTAAATCTGGAAATGTGGTAAGCACAACCAAAAAAACGCTCAACGGGCAGGACCTTCTATAAAACATTTACTCAGCCTTGCAGCCGTCCCCATGTGAGGTACCCGACCGGGCATGCAAATGCCAAGGAGTCCAATACAGCGAATTCCAATCGCGGACACTCATTCGAGTCAGCCATGACTCAAACACGTAGCCTATGTCTTGCGACACATGAACCTGTAAAAACCTACTGAGCTACTGCTCATTTCGGCACCTCCAATTTCGAGTTTTTAACTTGCTCAAGTCGACCGTATCTGACCCAATTCTCACAAAGTCAGAGTAGGTTTTTTCCTTTGTTTCTTGTTACTTTCCTATTCTACTCGTTTTTAATAACCAAAGCAAAATTATGCTTAATCTTTGTTTTGATGGCCTTACCCGCCAAGAACTTGCCCTGGAACACCAACAACTTACGTTCGTCTCAGATAACCCATAATGGCTCTCATGGCGAAAGCCACATACCCCCAGTCCTTATGGACCAATGTTTGAATTGTTACCTCTCTAAACAATACCTAGTCCTCATCTCATACAATGTTATTCCCACAAACCTTGTCCAAATACAATTTCTACCGCAGTCAAATCCTCTAAAAGAGGGGGCAAGATAACCATCGGTGCAAGGTGGATGGTTCACTGACACCTGCGATACTCGATGTCGCAGACATGCCCCTGCTTTTTAACCATACAAAGGAGGGGATAACCATAAGGGTGAGAAGCCACTGAGGTATTGCTAGCCTCTGGGAGAGATTGGTTGCAGGCTCAACCGTAATAACTCGTCGAGTCTGACAACCTCAACATAGTCTTTTCCTATAATTTGGACCCATCGTTCGGTTGTAGATATTATTGGTGGTGTAACACTTTGGAGATGCATGTAACTGATCCTAAAATTGTAATATGAGATCCAACGTTATTGCGTGCATCGGTCCCACAAGCGGACCCTCCCGACCGCATCACTCAAGATATTGCATGACTTTGTCGAAAAAGCTTTGCCGGCCCGATCGGATACGTCTGTTGTACCTCTCGTGAACCCCTACTACGACAAGATAGAGGACACACGAAGTAAAACTTACCTCTACCCAAGAGGTTGTTACCACCCTTAGGTGGGTGTATCCCCGCCGAGCTACCAAACCACGTGCGACAGTTGCTCGAATGCAGTTGCAGAGATGACCCCGATGAGGGCGTTTCTCGTTCGTTATAGCATAGGGGGTATGTGCGGTCGAACGCCTTAGTCGGACCTGCGCGCGAATTGACGCTCAGGGGACTGATCTCCCAAGCACGGTCCTACGTCGGTTGACTACGACGGTAAATCCAACCACTCGATACACTTTCAAAAAAAATAAACCAAGCTTTATACGTAAATCGCACCTAGTTCTTTATTCACATCCGACTCATATCCTTTTGACAATAGAGTAAATAGGCATCGCGCGCGACTCTGAATAAATAGTGTGATGACACAAACTTTATCATATCGATTAACCATGCATGAATGTGCAAACAGGTAAGATGGTGGCATAGTGAAAAAACATTAGCGCGGTTGTGAGTTGTTTGACGCACCGCAAGCAGTACGCTAGCTCTTTTATCTGGAACCCAATCGTTCCACGAAACGAAATAATAGGCAGTCATGGAGAAATCTTCCTTTTTACTCAACCTAACTCAAATGTAGTGTATTTCTCGCACGTACAAATATCTTTGTCAATCAATGAATAAACAAGCGAGCACCCCAACACCCACATATCCATCGCAACTCGAGATAAATAGAAAGGGTAAAATATACGTCCAACAGGTATGCAGATCGTGTGACATATGGTTATCATTCTCATTGCTTCCAAGGTGTGGCTTGTATATCAAGCTTCAAACACTTACGCGCACACAAAAATCACATTGTCAGACACAAATATAGTCAACTTTATCATTTTCGAGAACTCATACCCCGCCTCACACACACAGCCCCAATCACTGTCCAACTTTCCTTAAAAGACACTTACTTCTTTAAATGACCATTAAACCACCACTACCTTTCACGGGCAAATGCAAAGTCCATCTAGTAGTCTACTCCTGAAAACACGGGGCTCCGGGCAGGGCTGGAGACCGGCGAAAAAAAAAAAGAAAAAAAAAAAAAGAAAAAAAAAAAATGAAAAAAAATGAAAAAAAGCAAACAGTCCCTACTCCAGGGATGTCGAGGAAGGGCCTCACGAGTGTAAAAGTTATATCAGTGCTTTGATGAATGCATCTAGCCACTATGTCGGACAAGGGATTGCAGTTCGTTTTTCTTTTTATTTTTGTTTTCAATTCCTTGTAGTGCCCTGCCAGCCAGGCAGGGCATGTTTCACGGGTGACACGTAATTGTCTAACTACTGTAGCATCATGTATATGCTCACAATCACGGGATAAGATATATATATTTTTTTCGTTGCTTCTCTGTGTTTTTTTCCCGTGCACGTCCTCACTGAGGGCACAGTCACACAAACACCTCATAAAATGTATCTATTGGCAATCAAGTCATTCGAAAAATCTTTTTTTTTTTTAATTTTTATTTCCCCCTTGTTCATTTTTAGATGAAACGGCCTCGACTCAGACAAACTCGGTGTGCAGTGAAAATCAGGGTTGGCAAAAACAGGT